CTGGAGGATTCCAATAAAGCTGCCGATCTTCGTCTTTAATCTACACTGGTGTCCTGGAGAAATTGGTTCTAATACCAGCACAGGAATGCCTCAGCTACAGGATAGATGAGCTTGCCATCAAGAGTGAGAGCAAGCAGGCAAAAAGCAAAAGTTTCCTTCTTCCATGCCCTTTAATGTGGGCTACCACCAGAAAAAGTGTGGCCCATATTTAAGGTGGGTCTTCTAACCTCAAATGATCCAATCAAGAAAATACACAACAGGTATACCATCAGTTTGGGTTTTAGTTGACTCCAAATATAGACATATTGACAGTCAAAATCAGCCAGCATGGTGATCCTGATGCTGGACTTGGCCACCTGTCCCCTTCTAGGCTTTTACAAGGTTTTCACAGTAAAGGAACTTTTGTTCTTGACAAGGTAGTGTATGCCTGTAACCTTAGCCCTAGAGAGGCTAATATGGGAGGACTGTGGAAAATTGGAAGCCAGCCTGGCTTGTATGGTGAGTTCCAGGCCAACCGGGGCTACAAAGTGAGACATTGTCTAAGAACAAACGAAAAGGGCTGGTATGTGGCTCAGTTGGTGGAGTGTCGTCTAGCAGGTCCAAGGTCCTGGTTTTGATTGCCTGTAGCAGTATATGCCTGTAATCCCAGCACGTGTAACTAGGAGTCCCCCAGACCTTAGCAAAACTGATACAATGAAGAAAGCAGCAGTCAAGCCTTGGAATCCAGCACGTTGACAGCGCTGCCTGCTAAAACTAGACCAAAGACTTAATCCATCGAAGTACACAGTTCTGGGAAAGTCCCTAGATGCACTAGCCTTGTGTTTTGGCTTCTGTAGTTCTGCCTCTGGCTAAGTGTTCTTACTAACTGAGGTGTGTCCACCCAGAGGCGGGGTTTGTGTTTAAAAATCTCACCCTAAGTAAGGCCCAGGACTGCACTCGGGTCCCGAATACCCAGTGTAGTTTCTGGCCAGTTAATAAAGACTTTCTATTGTCTGTCTGAGCAGTCTTCTCTGGCAAATACCTCACAACATTGTGAGGTGTAGACAGGGAGACCAGAAATTCAAGGTTACCCTTGGCAGCATAACAAATCTGGGACCAACCTAAGCTACAGTATACTCTGTTTTAAAAATAAATAAACCTCCAAGCAAATAAAAGTTACTTTCCCGTGAGGCTCCCACACTGGAACGACCCATTGGTCCAGCCCACCCATTCCACCACCTTGAGGGATATGCCTGTTTCCCAGGGCTGTGGTAACAAGACCACACTGGTGGAAAAATTTGTTCTCACGGTTCTAGACAAAGATGAAACCCTTTCAAACATACCCCTAGCAAATAAATAAATAAATAAATAAATAAAAATAAAATAAATAAAATAAAATTGTTTTTCCTAAAGTTTGAAATGTTTGTATAATTACTTATTGATAGTTTCCATTTTCCGCCATTTCTTTCACAATTGAACTATCTTATCTTCTTTTGAGGCAGTGTTCTCTATTCCCACTGTGGCTCTGGCTACACTGTGTAGATTGGAATTAACGCATGTGCCACCACCACCTGGCTCTCATTCCTTTTTTATTAGCTACTGTCCCCCCTGTTTAAACACTTTACTTTTTTGTTTCATAGCTTGACTGGAAAGCTTTTTCTCTGATGCTGCTTATGTAAATGACAGTGACCAGAATCTTTGCCTTTCTTGGCTGTCAGTTAAGCTACTTACAGTTCGGCTTGCCTGTTTTGACATCTCTTTTGGTTTTTTCCTTTGGCTATGAAGGGAGCAGCCCTTACTGAAGGTATAATTTAGCTCTCTTACGAGACTTTTAGGGTGGAAGCCCTCTGACTTGGCTAGTCTCCACAGACTAGGCAAAGCCAGCCACCCTAACTCACAAAGAGTTGAGTCGTGGTGAAGGTCACAGAAAGGAGGTAGCGTGTCCACACTGGTGAAGGCGTAAGTCACAGACAATCCCACACCAGTTTGGAATTATGATTAATAGAATGGTTATTTATTCAAAGGGGAAAAAACTTACAGATTACCGTCCCAGACAACAGCCCCTCCGCGCGAACAGGAAAGGAGTCCAGGGGCCGGAAACGGAGCCGGAAGACAAAGAGAGAGTGGAGGACAGCCGCTGCTTTTTTTAAAGGGAGAGACCACGCCCCAATGGGCTGGTAACTCAGCGGCGATTGGCTGAAGGAGCTGAAGGAACTCCCACAGCACACTGGGAAGAACAGAAAAAGGGACTCAGTGACCTCAAGTCTGTCCTTGGGGGGTTCTTAGGAACTTTGGGAGCTTTAAGGTAAGGGAAACTGAGGCGGGTGGGATATGCACAGACAGTAGACCCGGAGATTGCTGAGACTCTCTGGGGTCACTTCCTTTCTGGTTCCAGAAAGAATGTTGAAATTAATGCTGTGGGTACCTGGCAGGGCAGCTGGAGGAGAGGGGGAGCAGCAAGATCTGGAGAAACTACAACCTGGCTATCATGACTACTGTCCTGGTGGGAGGGGTGAGGAGCTGCCCCGCAGCACTCATTGATATTTGGGGGTTTTGGTCCCTTGTCATAAACACTTTTATCCATGAGTTCTGTTGCTCACGGAATCCAAGGTAACTGCAGCAGAGTGACTCAGTGTGCTACTTTTCTGGTTGCTGTGACAACATTCCTCACAAAGCAACTCAAGGAAGGAAGGGTTCATCTTGTCTCACAGCTTGCGGCTGCGTTGTCCATCATGTTGGGGAAGGCATGAGGCATCTGGTCACATGGCATCCACGCTCGGGAAGCAGTGAGAGAGGAGCCGCTGGTGCTAGTTTAGCTTTCTCCACTTCATTCAGTCTAGGACCCAGGCCACGGTTAGGACGAGTCTTCCCACCTCAGTCCAGTGTGCAGACTTCAAGGACGTGCCCATAGGTCAGCCCTCAGCTCTGTCTGGAAACTTCACCAGAGGTCAGTCTCCGGGCCTCTCAGACTGCCCTAGTCTCCTAGGTGGTTTCATTATTTCCTGGGTGGTTTTAGATGCTGTCAAGTTGGCAATTACTAACCAACTTCAGGGAAAAAAATATAGGTCAACTAGAGCTGCGGATGCTAGGAATGGTGACACATGCCTGTAGGTTCAGTATTTGGAAGGCAGAAGATTACAGGTTCAATGCCAGCCTGGTCTACAAAGCCAGGGCTACTCAGTAAGCCAGACTCAACAACCAAAATAAAAACAAAGGTCAAAACAAAAGAAAGGGAGAGCTAGCGTGCCAGGCAACAAACACAGTTTTAGCTCAGTGCCCTGCGCCGGGCTTCAGCTCTGCTACTAAAATGCTACATTTTGTTTTGTTTCGAACATCACAGCTGAAGTTTGAGAGTGATCATTAAGGACTTTCCGTTCTCACAGGAGCAAAGTGAGGTAGCTACAGTTTTACGAGCTCTAGGGCCTCACTTAATTTCTGAAGTTTCTTAATTCATTTTTCAAAGGTGGGTATGGTGGCACACGCTTTAATCCCAGCACTTGGGAGGCAGAGGTAAATCTCTGTAAATTCTATGCCAGACTCTTTCACAGAGTGTGTTTCAGGCCAGTCACAGTGACATAGTGAGACCTTATCTCAAAAAACAAACAAACAAAAAATTAGCCAGGCGGTGGTTGTGCACGCCTTTAATCCCAGCACTCGGGAGGCAGAGGCAGGCAGATCTCTGTGAGTTCGAGGCTAGCCTGGTCTACAAGAGCTAGTTCCAGGACAGGCTCCAAAGCTACAGAGAAACCCTGTCTCGAAAAAAAAAAAAAGGAAAAAAAATTAAAGATAGGTTTTTTTTTAAACCTTCTGTGTGAGAGTTTTGCTTGAATGTATATGTGTGCACTATTTGTGTTTCTGTTGTCTGAGGAGGTAAGAAGTGGGCTGCAGATTCTCTGCAGTTGGAGTTACAGATGTTTGTGACCCACCATGTGGGTCCTGGGACCTGAATCCTCTTTTGCAAGAACAACAAGCGGTCAGATGGTGATGGCACATGCCTTTAATCCCAGCACTATGGAGGCAGAAGCAGAGGCAGGTGGATCTCTGTGACTTCAAGGCCAGCCTGGTCTACAAGAGCTAGTTCCAGGACAGCTAGGACTGTTAAACAGAGAAACATTGTCTCGAAAAAAAAAAAAAAAAAAGAACAAGTGCCCGTAACCATTGGGCCATCTCTCTGGGGTCCGAAGTTCCCTTTTTATGTAGCTTCTTCCTCTTTGGGATTCTGACTCTACCTTCTCAGACTTCCTGAATTCTGGTTTCTTTCTTCTCAACCCCCAGAGACAGTCATGGTCTGCTGAGGACAATGCTTCCTGCATCAGGTCCTAGGGTCCAACTAAGTAGAAATGCAGGGCCGTCAAGAAGCTCACCACCTATTTCAGTTCTCTCTGGGATCCTGGAGCCATGCTGACTTTGTGGAACACACAAGGACGGAAGTTAAATGTGCTCTCTCCAGCTGGACGGTGAAAGGCAGGAGAGGAAAAGTTTATTTTTGGTTTTTTGAGACAGGGTTTCTTTGTGTAGCTTTGGAGCCTGTCCTGGCACTCACTCCATAGACCAGGCTGGCCTCAAACTCACAGAGATCCGCCTGCCTCTGCCTCTCAAGTGCTGGGATTAAAGGAGTGTACCACCACTGCCCAGCTTGAGAGGAAAAGTTTTAAAATTATACTTATTTATATGACGATGATGATATGTATGGGTGTTTTGCCTTTGTTTATGCCTGTGCACCATGTCTATGCCTAGTGCCCCGGAGGCCGAAAGATCCCAGAACTAGTGATACAGTCAAGAGCCACATTGGTGCTAAGATTTAAGCAGTTCTTCTGGAAGATCAGTCAGTACTCCTAACAGAAGAGTTATCATCCTCACTGGTGTGGGAGAATTATCTGTATTCTGTCAATCATATTTTAATAAAGCGCTGATTGGCCAGGCAGGCAGTATAGGCAGGAAAGCCAGACAGGAAGTAGAGGTGGAGCAAAGAGACTGGGAGTATTCTAGGAAGCTCCCTCTGCCAGTTCTGCCCAGACCACGGGAAAGGAAAGATGTAAGCTGCCCCACTGGAAAAGGTACTGAGCCATGTGGCTAACGTAGATAAGGATAATGGGGTAACATAAGTTATAAGAGCTAATAAGTAGCCTGACCTAATGGGTCAATCAGTTTATAATCTTATGGAGTCTTGTGCGTGATTTTCTTTGGGACTTGCCGGCTGTGGGGTACCAGGTGGGACAAATACCCCAACAAGCCGGCCCCCTCATGTTACACCTCACCCCTATATTTTTAATCATGTGTGTGCATTTGTATCTGAGTGTGCGATTGTGCACATGCATTTGCACATGGCCTTCAGAGGCCAGAGCAGGGCACAAGACCTCCTGGAGCAAGAGCTACAGGCAAGCATGAGCCACTGATGTAGGTGCTGAGAACCGAACCAGGGTTCTCAGGAAGAACAACAGGTGCTTAACCTCTGAACCATTCCTCCAGCCCCATCCTCCTCACCTTCGCTGTTTCCTTCCCCTCATCTTTCTTCCACGCCAGTGCCGCCTTCTCTTCCTGCCGCCTGTCATCCGGATGGGGCACTCTCCGCTGTCTTTCAAGCACACATCTGCCTGCCTGCCACCGTGCTTCCCACCATACCGATAACAGATGTTCTATATCTGGATTTAAGCCAGTCCTAATGAAATATTTTCCTTTGTAAGAATTGCTGTCGCCAGGCAGTGGTGGTGGTGGCACAGGCCTTTAATCTCTGTGAGTTCAAGGTCAGTCCAGTCTACAGAGTGAGTTCCAGGATAGTCAGGCCTGTTACACAGAGAAACTCTATCGAGGAAAAAAAATTAAGAGTTGCAGCGGCCCTGGTGTCTCTTCACAGCAATAGAAACCTTAGCTAAGACTGTGGAAGGCGTGAGGCGTCTGGTCACATGGCATCCACGCTCGGGAAGCAGTGAGAGAGGAGCCGCTGGTGCTAGTTTAGTTTTCTCCACTTCATTCAGTCTAGGACCCAGGCCACGGTTAGGACGAGTCTTCCCACCTCAGTCAATCCAGCCTGCAAACGTCACAGACGTGCTCAGAGGTCGGTCTCCGATGTGCTTTTTATTATTTTCCTGGGTGATTTCAGGTGCTGTCAAAAGTAAAAGTGCTAGTAAGCACCCTCCCTGTTCATGTTAGGGTTTCTATTGCTGTGAAGAGACACTTTGACCATGGCAACTCTTATGAAGGAAAATATTTAACCGAAGGGGCTCCCTTACAGTTTCAGAGCTCCAGTGCACTATCGTCGTCACGGCAGGGAGTGAGGTGGCATGCAGGCAGATGTGGTGCTGCAGAGGTACTGGGAGTCCTACATCTTGCAGGCAGTAGGAAGTCATACAGGGTGGTGTCCTGAGCATGGGAAACCCCAAAGCCTGCCCCCACAGTGACACACTTCCTGCAACAAGCCATACTCACTTCCACGAAGCCATACCTCCTAAGAGTGCTCTTCCCTGTGAGATTAGGGGAGCCAATTCCATTCCAACTACCATACCCAGGAAGAAAATGCAGGCCAAAGCAGAACTGGAGGTGCTAGGTATGGTATCTGCTGTGGTTTTCGTATTTGGAAAGCAAGAGATCACCAGGTCAAGGTCAGCCTGCTCTGCAAAGCTAGGAACTGGGTACAGAGCTAGGAATTAAATGTAGGGGAAAGAGGTTTGCCTAGACTAGGAGGAGATCAAAATTCTTTGAAATTAGTGAGCTTAATTATTTCAGCTTTTTTTCTCTTCTTTCTTCTTCAATGCTTCTCTAAACCAATCTCTGCAGGAGACTGTGCTGCTCCCCCAGCCCTCCCCAGGCTTCCAGGTTTTCAGTTTCACCCCGAAACTCTCTATCTTCTCCCCATCTTATCAATGTGTGGAAATGATCAGGGGGCTTCTTCTGTCACAGCGAGCCCTACTTGAGTAGTCTCCCTCGACAGGCCCGGCTTCAATAATTCAGAAAGTTAGCCTTTCACAGCCTCCTGTCTTTTCCTTTCCATTCATCAAATAGTTCTCCTCCTCCTAGTTGAGGCCACCTTACTACCTCATCCAGGCTGAACATCTTTCTGCTGCTTCCCAAGTGATGGAGTTAAAAACACACGCCAGTGCCACAAGATTTGAGTGTCTTTTAACTTTATGTGCACACAGTAACTGGACGTGCTTGTGGAGAGGTGTGGCAACTCAGTCCAGTGAGGAACAATCCGGTCAGAATAACTGACATCTCCCTGACCTCAGGTGCCACAGTTGTTTGCTGGGAAATTCCATAATCCTCTCCATTTAAAATCCTTAGCTGTTCTAGGTAAAGCCTACTAACTGTTGGTTGATTCGATACTGCTGAGAGTGTGACAGAATTCTGGCTTGTTTTACCACTGTCCAGATAAAAGCATGCACAGCCCTGTCAGTTCTAAAAGCAGATACATCCACAGAAGAAGGCACCTGTGTGAACCCGGAAGTAGGTGTCAACTACAGCAGCTTCCCTTGCCATCGGCTCAGACTAGAAAGGCCGTGTGTCCCGTGGGAGAAAGGATGATATATAAGTGACAGGATGCCCATAAAATAGCATATTGTGCAATGATAACAACAAAGGACAACAGTAACTACACCCCCATGGCTGAACCTTGAATGTTTTGTATTGAGTGAACGAAGACTGACCCTCCAAAGTAGGAACATCTTTCTAACATAAGGAACCAAGTGACTGACCAGGGAAGGGCAGGGAGGAGGGCCTGACCAGCAGGAGCCAGGTAGGGCTACTGACCTGTGGGCAGCATTTTGGATATGTGCTGGGTCCCATGGGTGTTTCTACTATAATGCGTTGTTATTTGTGTGTTGTTAGTGGTTTGTGCCCTTTGTGCCGTCTGCTATTTAAAAGGTGAATTCCAGGCCAGCTAGAGGCACACTGTGTGAGTCTGTCTTAAAAACTACACAAACCAGTGGTGGTGGCCACACCTTTAATCCCAGCACTGGGGAGGCAGAGGCAGGAGAATCTCTGAGTTTGAGGTCAGCCTGGTCCACAGAGTAAGTTTGGGGACAGCTAGGTGTACACAGAGAAACCCTGTCTGGAAAAATAAAGACCAGGATGGCCTACAACTCAGAGATCTGCCTGCCTCTGTATCCTGAGTGCTGGGATTAAAGGCATGCACCACCACCATCACCTGACAAATATTGCTATTCTTGCGACTAAATAAAACTCTATTGTGTATGTCTGTGTGTATCTCACATTCTTTATGTATGTATGTGTTGATAAATACCTAGTTTGGTTCCATATATTGGCTATTTTGAATAGTGAAGCATTAAACATTGGTGCACAGGTATCTCTGTGATATGTTGATATGACGGCTAGTTTTATGTCAACTTGACATAAGCTAAAGTCATATGAGAATAAGGAACTTCAACTGAGAAAATGTCTCCATAAGATCGGGCTGTAGGAGAAATCTAAGATGGCTGAAAGACACTTAAGGAAATGTTCAATATCTTTAGTCATCAGGGAAATGCAAATCAAAACAACTCTGAGATTCCATCTTATACCTGCAAGAATGGCCAAGATCAAAAACACTGACAACTTATACTGGAGAGGTTGTGGGGAAAAGGGAACATTTCTGCATTGCTGGTGGGAATACAAGCTGGTACAACCCCTTTGGATGTCAGTGTGGCGATTTCTCAGAAAATTAGGAAACAACCTTCCTCAAGACCCAGTAATACCACTTTTGGTTATATATCCAAAGGATGCTCAATCGTGCCACAAGGACATGTGTTCAACTATGTTCATAGCTGCATTGTTTGTCATAGTCAGAACCTGAAAACAACCTAAATGCCCCTTGATCGAAGAATGGATAAGGAAAATGTGGTACATTTACACAATGGAGTACTATACAGCAGAAAAAATGACATCTTGAATTTTGCAGGAAAATGGATGGAACTAGAAAACATTATTTTGAGTGAGGTTACCCAGACACAGAAAGACAATTATCACATGTACTCACTCATAGGTGGTTTTTAAACATAAAGCAAAGAAAGCCAGCCTACAAACCACAATCCCAGAGAACTTAGACAACAATGCAGACACTAAGAGAGACTTACATAGATCTAATCTACAGGGGAAGTAGAAAGTAGAAAAAGACAAGATCTCCTGAGTAAATTGGGAGCATGGGAACCTTGGGGGAGGGTTGAAGGGGAGGGGAGAGGCAGGGAGGGGAGCAGAGAAAAATGTAGAGCTCAATAAAAATCAATTAGAAAAGAAAAGAAAAGAAATAGAGTTTAAAATAAAGATACGTAAAGACAAAAAATAAAAAAAAAATAAAAAGATTGGGCTGTAGGTATAGGAAATCTGTAGAGCATTTTCTTAATTAGTGACTGATGAGGGAGGACCCAGCCCATTGAGGGTGGTGCCATCCCTGACTGGTGGTACTGGATGCTATAAGAAAGCAGGCTAATCAAGCCATGAGGAGCAAGCCAGTAAGTAGCACCCCTTCAGGACCATCAGCTCCTGCCTCCAGGTTCCTGCAAGGTTTGAGTTCCTTCCTTGGCTTCCCTCAATGGACTGTGACTCAGGATATGTAAGCCAAATAAACCCTTTCCTCTCCAAGTTGCTTTTGATCATGATGGTTCATCATAGCAATACTAACCTTAACTAAGACAAGCTGATTAGAGCTCTTTAGATACATACTCAGGAGTGGCACAGCTGGTGTGCGGTAGTTCTGTTTTTAATTTTTGAGTAATCTGTGCTAACTACATTCTTGCCAGCTATGTAAAAGACTTCGCATCCTTGACAGTATATTTTCCCATGCTGGGATATAAACCTAGGGCCCTATGCATGGTAGACTCTACCTCCAAATTATATTTTCAGCCCACTTGGTAGTATTTCTCCCCGATGATAGCCATTCTGACTAGGGTAAGGTAGAACCTCAATGTCACCTTGTTTTGCAATTCCCTGACAGCTTGTTCATCTATATGAAGGCCACTTTTACTTCTTGTGAGACTATCTGCTCAAGCCATGTGCCCATTTATGAATGATTTTTTATGTTTAATTTTAACTTTTTTGAATATTCTAGATATTAGTTTCTGTCAGACAG